CATTGATAATTTCCTACCATTTTGTTTGTAATTTGCTAAGTCCCCCCTATTATTATGTTATCCTTCTTTTATTCTTTAAAATAAAAAAAAAAAAAGAGGGGACAGCAGCGAAATGGAGAGGGGAGGAGGGAAGGGCAGGTCAGAGAGAAAGCACAGGAAAGGAGACATTTTACATGTGGGGTAATTCTCTCTTGTTCTCTTGAGCTTATGAAACTCAAAAAGCTTGTGCCTTTCTGAGCTCACCTCGTGTGGACTTGGAAAAGTTCTCAGTTCGGTTTCAGGATCCCTTTGCACTCTTAATACTATACACTACTGAGGATCTCAAAGAGTTTTCGTTTATGTGGATTATGTTTATAAGCATTTACTGAGAAATTTAAAAATATTTATTGGTTCATAAAAATAATAATAACCCCATCATGTGTCCGCAGAAACACTTTTTCTGGTGTGAATAACTATATTTTAAAAAATGGGGTGGAAAGAGACATTGTTTCAAGCTTTTGCAATTCTCTTTGGTATTTGGCTGGGTTCTCATATCCACTTTTGCATTCACTGTTACAATAACATGTTATGAGGCCTCTAGGAAGCTCCTTCTATATTGTACTTGGGAGGATAAAATAGGTCCCCCCAAAGCCTTAGTATTATTGTGAACAAACCATCAGGGATCCCCAGACCATATTTTGTGGACCTTTGATTTAGGAGTTTATTCTTTTGTTTTTGTTTTTGTTTTTGTTTTTTTTTTTGGTTTTTCTCCGATATCGGGAACCGAACTCACAACCTTGCGCTTGCCAGGCAGGCGCTTTGCCGCTGAGCTAAATCCCCAGCCCTAGGAGTTTATTCTTAATATTTCTCTTTTTTGCTGTTCCAAGTCAAATATGCTTTTGGGAGAAAGACCGATTCTATAAAGATAATTGGTTTAAATTTCAAATACATACGTTCTAGACATCTCTTGTCCTCACAGGTGTCTGGCTACCCTTCTGTCTTTGTTCATCTTGCTCTGTGACCTCTGTGGGTAATTCAAGAGGCTCCCTGGTCCTCTGCTTCCAGCTGGGTTTGGCCAGTGGCGGCTGCAGGGAGAAGAGTGAGACTGGGATAGTTACTCTGAGGTTAACAAGGGCTTGCTTTGTCTTTCACCCAAAGGTCAGAGTTCTTTTCAGGAGATCCTCTGCACATAAGCCCCTTCTATTATACAGGTTTCTTTTCTTTTCTTAGTGATGCTGGGGATTGAACCCAGGGCCTTCACACTGAGCTACATCTCCAGCTCTTTTTAAACTTTTGAGTCAGGGTCTCATTAAATAGTTAAATTGTCCAGGTTGGATTCAAACTTGCGATCCTCCTGCCTTAGCTTCCCAGGGTGCTAGGACTAGAGGTCTGTTCTATCTTGCCTGGCTTGTCTACAGGTTTCTGTCATCCCTTCCTGTCCTTATCCCTGCAGACAGCAGTGATAACAAGCTCCCCGGAACTAGCCCTAGGGTACTAGATCTTATGATTTATCTTTACTGTGACTGTATTTTTGGAAATAAGTTTATTAAACTCTTCTCAAAATTCCAAACTTGAGTACATCACCCATTTCCCACTGGACTGTAACATATTTGGTCAGAGGAATGACTTCAGTATAAAATTCAATTAAAGTATTATTCATAGCATTGAACCAACTTGATTTTTTGTTTTGTTTTGTTTTTTTGAGACAGGGTCTCCCAGTGCAGTTCAGGCTGGCCTTGAGCTCACTTTGTAGCCCAGGCTGGTCTTGAACTTGCAACAATCCCCCTGCCTCAGTCTCCCAAGGGCTGGGATTACAGGCGTGTGCCACTACTCCTGGCCCAACTTGATTTGAATGGAAGCTAGAAAACTGTAAAACTATGGTATCTCAGAGACTGGCCTTTAATGGGTCAGGAAAGAGAGGGATGGGTGCACTGGAGACGAGCTGATATCTGTAAGGCCTTTCTGATTTGGGGTCTGCTTGGTTTTACTTTCATTTGTACTAAGATAAAACAGAAACACAGATGAAAGTGTTTATAAATGCTAATGTGGCCATGCTCTGGGGCAGCAGCGTGCCAATGCCAGCAATGGATCATGATTAGCCCAAACCAGTGGTTTACTGTTTTATTTTTTGCCATGCTAGGGGTCAAACTTAGGACCTCATGAATGGTAGGCAAATTCTCCATTACTGAGCCATATTCCCAGCCCAAGCCAGTATTTCTTCAAGTGTAATTCCCAGACCAAAGCATCATCCTCACCTGGGGAACTTGTTAGAAATGCAGATCCTCAGGTCCCACCTGAGGCTTACATATATGGAAACTCTGAAGGTGATTTCGGGCAGTCTGTTTTAAGGACTTATTTAGATGCTCGGTAAAATTTGAGAATTTCTCCTTTGAGCTACTCTTGACGTAGTAGTTCCCTAATTTCTTTGCTCCCCTGGCAGCTAGACATGGTCATGTGATTTCCTCACCCTTACTGCGTTGAACCTAGACGTTATGTCTGAAACTGCAGTAACTATCGTGCAGTCCTAGGGAAGCAAGATAATTGTAGAAGCCCTGATTCAGACAGAACTGCCCACTTCTAGACCTTTTGTTTCATGAGAAAATGCTACCCTCCCAATCCAGTGATTTAAACCACTGTTTGGGTTTTCTGTTTACAACCAAATAGATTTCTTAATGTGGGATGGTTAAAAAAATAAAATAAAAAGACTTTTCTCCTTATGATGTTAAGAAGTAAAACTTCTTGTACTACTGAAATAAGTATTTAAAAATATGGAACTGAGGGCTGACTACTTATTGATTTGAAAGGTCAGTCTGTAACACCTATGGCTCACCTCTTGCTGAATTACCCAGATACTTGGGGAGAAAGTCCTCGTTCCTAGGTGGTCCTTCTCCGGAGCTGTTTGAGAAGCATTTCTAAGAGAAACCACTGGGGGAGGGTTTTAGCTCAGTGGCAGAGCTCTTGTTTAGTACGTGTGAGACCTGCGTTCAATACCCAGCAGTCCCCCACCGCAAAACTCCTGTCTTGTGGTTTAATGAACATCAGGGTTAGATATTGCTAAGAAAAGAGCAATGGCCAATTATTTGAAGACAGCAGCCTCTATTACCAATCACAGTATCTCATTCAGTGGATATTTAATATTTGCATAGTGGGACTGGTGAAATTTTTTCAGTGAAGAAAACAGGTTTATTAATGGAGCATTTCTAGTGGCTAAGAGAGGAGTAGGTTGGGGTTGGCTGTATAGCTTAGTGGTACAGCACTTGTCGATCACACATAAGGCCCTAGGTTCCATTCCTAGTACCAAAAAACCAACCAGAAAGAGAAGCTCAATTCACTTAGGTCAGGTTGCCTTAAGTTTATATCAAAGCTCCTTGTCAGAGAGAGCATAGTAATCTGTATATAACAGGGACACAAACATGCTGAATAAATGAGACTTTTTATGTGACATAAAGCTTCACATCCTCGCTGTGACTGTATGAGGGATTCTATGCACCATATTCTACTTACTCTATGAAATAATCATGTGGCGTTAGCAGCACTGGATTACCTGTGACCTAAGGGTATGGGCTTAGGACACCTGCAAAAATGGGTCACCCAAATATGTTGGGAGAAAGTGGTTATCTGATTTCTGATTTTTTTTTTCTTTCAGTGCTGGAGATCAGACACTGGGCCTCGTGTATGCCAGGCAAGCATGCTGCTACTGAGACATAACCCCCGCAGCCTTGACATCTTGTTTTAAAAAGGAACTTCCATATTGTAACCAACATGAGAAAATCAGAAACTTTCTGCATTAAGGTGTTATTTCAACTTTGCAAATTACATATCCTGACTGCTTTGCATTACTATGAGATTCTGAATCTCTTCTTCTGGCTCTGGAGGAAGAGTGTTATGATTCCTACTTTATTATAGAATGAAGCAAGGCTCACAGAGTTCAGTAACTAGCTCACACAGCTAGTGTAGATTCCATTATGATGGTACTTAAGTGTTTATGACACATAACATGTTTATGATGACACACATTTGTGTTCCTTTGAAAGTTGTAAAAGTTGTTGGGACTGCTTTAATGGTTTAGTATTTTAATCAAAACATACAACAAAGTGAACCTAACTATCTGTTTTGGTGTCTCTTGTATTGTTAGCACCTAGAATAGTATTTGTTGCCTTTTTTTTTTGGCAGTGGGATTGAAAGGATGAATGGTACAGTCATCAGCCTACCTACATGATTGAACTTTACATAATTTTGGGGTCAACCAAAGAAGAGAGAAGAAAATCAAGCAGGGCAAGAAAATTGCTTTGATGCCTTTCCGTGGTTGCTTGAGTTTTCAAGACAGGGGTCTTCAGGTATCTTCACTTAGTTCTTCTTTAGCATAGGCCTTATTTTGGAAGCTGAGGTCCCAGACTCCTTCCCCTTAGATAAAGTATGTCAGGCAAAGGAGTGTGATTTGAGGAAATATATTCTATAAATCATTTGATAGTTATTTCCCAAGAACTGTATGATCTTATACTGCTAATAAAGAAGGCAATGGAGAGGTGATATTTAATTGGTCCCATGTGCTTTATTTTTTATTAGCACATTACCCCTGAACATACAGACATAGGGAAAAGAGCCGGGTAAGGAGGCACACACCCATATCAGCACTCAGGAGGCTTCAGGGATAGTGAGTTTCAGGCCAGTCTGAGCTGCGCAGTGAGGCCCCATCTCAAAAATAAACAAAAGAAATGTGGAAATGGAATTTTAGTTTATGGCTGTCTCCATTTCACCATGCCAGAGGTTATATATAAAGCACTGGTGTACATAAAAATCACTGGGGAGCTATTTAAAAATTTATCTTTCTCCCTGCATTTGATCCCTAGCACCACAATTACAAATAAAAGTAAAAATTTGTTTTTCTGAGCTTGTAGACATGAATGGACCTGGGAATCTATACTCTAGGTGTTTTTGATGTTTGTTGTTTATTCGCCATGCTGTGAGAGACACTACCCTTAAGGAATCTTAAGCGGGTTGAAAAAAAATCTGAATTGCAATCGTCTTCATTTATACCATCCTCAACATCTATGTTGGAAATGTCTTATTCCTAAATTTGCCCTCCCAAAGCCGACTCCTTTGGTCTAAGCTTAAATCACCTGCCCCAAGCAATTTACACCGAAGAATGAATAAGGTTTAAAGCCTCTTTCAAAGCACTTGCATTAAAAATACATATACATATAAATGTATACAGAAAATATGCAAAAATCTTTATATATCCTAAGGTAACTGCCTCTATGACACTTTTTATTTTGGGTGAACTAACCTGGGCAACACCTTCTAGTCTAGTCTAATTGGTTTGAGGAATCATGCCCGCTTTCTTCACCTACTGAATTACTATAATTTATTCTGGAAGCACCCTGTGTCGGTGTGAATCCTTCCTGTCACCCACAGGGAGGATCCTTTATGTCATCACCATCCCCTGCACATGTTTCAATGATCTCTTCTCATCTTGAGCCGGGATTCATTTACTTTTGTTTTTTCCAGCTCCGCATACAATGCTTGGTAAATAGGCACTCATTTTCTGTGGAATGAATGATTGAATGGCAGAGCCTAGGCTGGGACTTTTTAAAATCAATGCTGACTTAAACCACGGAAATGCCAAGGGCTGCACACTAGGCAGCAAAGAAACAATCAAGATACCACCTAACAGCACATAAGTCCTCTTGAAGGGATCACCTGTCTCATTCACTCAAGTCACTTTCCGTCCTTTTCGGACAGGCCAACTTCCCGCCCACTCTCCCTGCGTAGACAGGTCAGGCAGGTATCCCAGCTCAGCGGCTCTGATTGGCCGGCGATGATTTCATTGTTCGGGAACATCCGGGCCTTCTCCTCCTTGCAACACCTCCCCAGAGCCTTGCCGCACGCCCAGCTTCCCACTCCTGCCTGTGCCCCACCCATTTCTGAAGCAAAACCACCACCTCTTCCCAGCCAGCTTCTTGTCCTCGTCCTCACGATCCCTTCCCTTCTCCACGCCAGAGAGGCATTTGTTTCCTCCAATGAGGGTTTAGGGCGGCTCTGTAGACCAATCAGTGGCCATCTGCCTGCGATTGTGGGTGGGACTAGGCGCCCACACCTATAGCTCGATAGCCCGTGGGCTCCTTTATGGCGCTGGTTTCACGCAAGCCTTAGAGGTCAAAAGTAAGGGAACGTGGTCCTCAGGGAACGGGAAGAATCCGCACAGGCTCCTCTAGGTTTGGCCGTTTTCGAAGACTAGCCAATCGCTTTCGGGATACTTCCCCGCCTTTTGCGCGTTCATTTAAAAAAAGCCGGTGTGACGGACTTGGAAATTGGTTCCGTGATGGACACGTCGAGCAAGCCAATGACCGAGGGTTCAGGGCACCGTTTGAACCAATAAAACAAAGGAGTCGCTGAGGCGCCGGCCCTGCGGGGCGGAGCGCAGGTGGGCGTAATTTGACTGACAGATGAGCCCACTTAAGGCTGGCGTGGTGGGTTGGTCCATGACGTCCGGGAGGTTAGTTGCAGAGCGGAGGCGGGGCTGAATGAAGTCAATGGTAATAAAGGGTTGGGCCTCGCACAGTGGGCGGTGTTTGATGGATAGCTGACCTTGCCAATTGAAGCTGGTAACTGATGACCAATGGGAAATTAGAAGCTCAGAGGCGGGGCCATGTGGGCGGGGAAAACTGAGTGCGGCAGCACCAGGGGAGAGAAATTGGGCGGGATAACAGAGATTGACAGGCCTCCCAGCAATTCGGAGGCCGCAGGAGGCCGCGCGGTGCCCCAATGGGTGGGCTGTGGGGGCGGGGCTCTCCGGAGGGCGGGGAAAGGCAGGGTGCGGAGAGGGGGTTGCAGAAGGAGCCGAGCCGCCGCTGCTCAATGGCGGAAAAGCCGCCGGTGCTCTGACCGCCTCGTCCCCCTAGCAGTTGCGGGGGAGTTTCCTGCCGGCGCGGCTGGAGTCTGTGTTTCTCAGCGTTCGGTGGCTGGAAGATGCTCCAGAGAGACGAGGCTGCGGCGGAGGCGGAGGCGGTGGCCGTATCGGCGGCGACTCTGGGGTGGAGAGAAGGCGGCGGCGGCGGCGTGAGGGGCCGCGCGGTGTAAACAGCCCCGGGGGCGGCGGGGC